GATGGCTGGTTACTGTGGTCGATGGTTAATGGTATAGGTAGTTAGTGGTGGGGGAAGATTTTTGATCAGCTGCAGAGTAAGAGGGCATAATAACTAATCCCACTCAGTTCTTAGGTCACACCACCATGAACCCTCGGTCACACCACCATGAACCTCGGTCACACCACCATGAACCCGGCAACCTACCATGAACTCGGTCACACCACATCCGCACACTTGATCTACGTTGTGCTGCGTCATCCCTGAGTGAGAGGTTATTGTGTATTGTAATATATATATATATATATATATATATATATATATATATATATATATATATATATATATATATATATATATATATAATGGCTCAGTGTCTGTCATGTCTAAAGATAAATTAATTACCCTTTTAATTACCACTTTAGTTAAATAGAATCCTTTGAGAGGGTAATATACTGAAATTAGGCAAAACCTCAGTATCACACACCCACCCAGCCACAAGGATGAGTCCCACAGCCAGCCCTCTCCTCATCTCTCTGCCAACACATACAGTATTTATATAATTTATATTTAATAATGTCTTCTTGTACAAACATTTTATTTTTTATATTCATTCAAATTTCTTCTTTTAATCTTGTTTGTTTACATGTACAGTATAACTTGGGCTAAGTTGTTGTATTGTATTATTTTTCATTTACAATATATCCAAAGTAGAATTACCATACAGTGGTCATAAACATATGTAAATTATGCTCCTACTGCATACTGTACAGCAAACGACCTACGCTGATGTACGATAATGATTATTACGATAATAAAAGATGTAATTACTGTACAGTATATAAAATAATTATTAGAACAAAGGAAAAAAAGGTTTACATAGTATGATTCGGTCAGATAAAAGAAAAAGTAAAAGCCTGAAGGGTAGTGTAGAGGCAGTCACAACAATTATCTCTGAGTATTTCTAAGCTGAAATTACTTACTTGCAGGACCAATTATGTTATTTGTAGCCATTTATTGTAATTTTGCTAAAGAGTTGCCCAAACCAGCTCTAGGTTGTTCACACACACACACACCTTAATATGGATGAACGCACTTCAACGTGTTTACTTTGGCGTACTAATGCGAGGAAGTCTACAGCTGGCTGGCTTTCTTATTCTCCTCCCGTCTGTACAATTATTCTCAGGTGTTTTTACGAGAAACTAAATTAATTCATTTTCATATCTGTCACTTGTCTTGGGTCTGACCACAAAAATATATTACCTGATGTATATGATAAAAAAAAAACCTTATTTATACCGTCCATAAAGGTATATTTGTCAATGGTAGAAACTGATACTGTATGGAGAGAAGGATTTACTGTACCCCTAACCTACTCTGTGAGGATGACTTGCCTGAGAAACAAACAACCAATTTATTCCAGTGCCAATGAGAACAGTGGTGAGTTCCTCAGCCTTCCCAGGACCCAGGTGTTAAAGAACCTAAGTCCTTCCTCCCAGTGTAGATTAAATTACCTTACTTTTGAGGAGTACAATTAGGATGTTGTATCACAGAAGATTATCCATACATATTCATCCACCAATTAAATTTTATCCACAAACAAGCACACACACTGGCCCCCCCACTGAGGGTATTACAGTATAAGTGGGCCCTAACCACTACCTACATGGGTTGTCCTAAGAGCCCCTCACACACTAACTGAAACACAACCCTCTTCACACACTGCTACAACTCACACCATAACAACCTGCTGAAGACAATGTCCCCAATAGCTAGCCAACAAAATGACTAAATATGGGACACACACACAACAGTAGCTCCGAGAAGTATCGAAGAAAATACATAAACAGCGCATGCAACACGGATAAGATGTTAATTCCAGCCTTAACTTCAACACAACACCCAGAACTGTATACAAACCTCCTAACACCTCTCACTACGGACGCCAATTTGAATATTTTACTTGGTTAACGTCAGACGATTTTATTCGGCGGAGAGAGGACCCATACACAAGGAGTTAAAATCCAGGTACAGTTATGAAAAAAGGCCTACAGCACCTAGCTCAGACAACAGGACATGATAGCCACTAAAGGAACTGGCTGGGAGTGAGAAGTCAGCCTGGATCCAAAGCAAGGAACTGGCTGGGAGGAGGATACTCAGATCCAAAGTGACCTGACTCGTAACAGCCATAAGGGTGAAGCAGAACAAGCAGGCCAGTGTGTCATTATTTCCAAATAAAGGGAGAGTTGTGACATTGAGATAAGTTAATAATAATCTCTGGACTGTCCCCAAGGTTAATTATAATCATAGGATAAGACACACACACTCAGCAATGGTCATTTGTCAATGATATTTAACCAATCACCCATCAGGTTATATACGCTCATCTCCTGCCTATGTATTCTAAAAAAACCTAATGACAGACAAACATTGATCACTATATCCAGGGACCAGGGAGAGAGGGGGATTAATACAACACAGACATAAAAAGTGTTACAACTCGATGACAAAGAATAGGTAAAGTAGCGGTAATAAATAATAAATTTTTAGTAAAAACGGTGAAAACAAATGTAAATAGTGGTATGTAGGCAGTGTCTATATAAAGTATAATTTGCCATAGCAGTTAATATAAGTGACAGAAGATAAAAAAGTATAAGGATAGAAGATCAACTATACTGTAAGTGACAAAAACAAAACACTAATAACAAACATAAAGTGACAGAAGATAAAAAAACGTACAAGCGATAGAAGATCAACTATACTGTATAAGTGACATAACACAAGTAAACACTAATAAGCAAACATAAAGTGACCGAAGAGAAAAAAATATAAGCGACAGAAGATCAACTATACTGTATAAGTGACATAACAAAAGTAAACACTAATAAGCAAACATAAAGTGACCGAAGATAAAAAATATAAGCGACAGAAGATCAACTATACTGTATAAGTGACATAAAAGTAAACACTAATAAGCAAACATAAAGTGACCGAAGATAAAAAATATAAGCGACAGAAGATCAACTATACTGTATAAGTGACATAACAAAACAAAACACTAATAAGCAAACATAACCAACCTTCAACTGCCTCCTCACAACCTTCATAGGACCTAACCTCAAGTAGGCAGAATCTGTCTGCAATTAAAAACGAAAAAGCAAAATTTAGACAATTATGAACAGGTTAAATTACTGCTGGGAGAGGAGGGAGGAAGGAACACCTGACCAGAAAATAATAAAATGGTAAAAGTTAAATAAATATATTACCACACCTGTAAAGTTAATATATAATGAATATAACAAAATAGAACTTGGTTAAAAAAAACCCTACAGATCTGTTAATTGTGTTAAAATGGATCACCTGAAGAATCTCCACCTCAGCTTATTTCACCTGAAGATTAACCACCCTTAACACTATTTGGGCGATTAGATTAGCATTAAGTTAACATTAGGCTGGTTAATCTTCAGGTGAAATAAGCTAGAATGGTAAATTCTTCAGGCTGATCCACGAAAAAAAAAAATAAATCAACCAGCTTTTCTAACAATTCCAACTATAAACACTACAATACACTACCCATCTCTCTCATAATAAATAAAAACTATAAAAAATTCAAATACTCCCAAAAATCCTAGTATGCAATATAAGGCAATAACCACAGAGAAACACGACAGATACACCAATGACCTTCACAGCGCCGCTTCAGGAGAAAAAAAATCATCGCTGACCATTAACATCAATTCACTCCACCATCTAACCACCTTCCACCTTTGAATAACCTAACCTAACCCCTACAGCTGTTAATATTATGTTTAAAAGGACCCACAAATATTTTAAGGAAGTTTATAGGCAGTAGTGCATTGTGACCATATCACGGCCGCCACTCGTTATCTGACTCACCTTATCTTGGTCATGTTAACAGTTGCACCACTGATAACTTCTCAAGGGGAGCCTCTCTCTCTTATGTACTGTGTTTGTGTGTGACTGACCTGCTGTGGGTGTGGATGACTGAACTGTATGGATGACTGACCTGTGTGGATGACTGACCTACATGGAAAACTGACCTGTGTGGATGACTGACCTACGTGGAAAACTGACCTGTGTGGATGACTGACCTGTGTGGATGACTGACCTGTGTGGATGACTGACCTGCGTGGATGACTAACCTGCATGGATGACTAACCTGCGTGGATGACTAACCTGCGTGGATGACTAACCTGCATGAATGACTAACCTGCATGAATGACTGACCTGCGTGGATGACTGACCTGCATGAATGACTGACCTGCATGGATGACTGACCTGTGGTGGGTGAGGATGGTCCCAGGCGTAGGGAGGACAGCCAGGTCTGGTGTAGCCATGTTGGTTCACGCCTGATGGACCTGTTGAGAGACACAACTGTTAACACAACACCATGACACTGGATGACTTTGTGTGCTGGATGACTGTGTGAGCTGGATGACTGTGTGTTGGATGACTTGGTGTGCTGGATGACTTTGTGTGCTGGATGACTGTGTGAGCTGGATGACTGTGTGTTGGATGACTTGGTGTGCTGGATGAATGTGTGTGCTCGATAACTTTGTGTGCTGGATGACTGTATGAACTGGATGACTGTGTGTTGGATGACTTGGTGTGCTGGATGAATGTGTGTGCTGGATAACTTTGTGTGCTGGATGAATGTGTGCTGGATGACTGTGTGTGCTGGATGACTTTGTGTGCTGGATGACTGTGTGAGCTGGATGACTGTGTGTTGGATGACTTGGTGTGCTGGATGAATGTGTGTGCTCGATAACTTTGTGTGCTGGATGACTGTATGAACTGGATGACTGTGTGTTGGATGACTTGGTGTGCTGGATGACGTGTGCTGGATGAATGTGTTGTGCTGGATGACTGTGGGCTGGATGACTGACAACACATGCTGGATGACTTTGTGTGCTGGATGACTTTGTATGCTGGATGACTGTGTGCTGGATGAATGTGTGTGCTGGATGACTGTGTGAACTGGATGACTGTGTGTGTGTGCTGGATGACTGTGTGTGGATGACTGTGTGTGCTGGATGACTGTGTGCTGGATGAATATGTGCTGGATGCTGACTGTGTCCTTGGCGGATAACTGTGTGCTGGATGAATGTGTGCTGGATGATTGTGTGAACTGGATGACTTTGTGTGGGCTGGATGACTGTGTGTGCTGGATGACTGTGTGCTGGATGGCTGTATGGGCTGGATGACTGTGTGTGCTGGATGACTGTGGCTGGAATGACTGTATGGCTAGATGACTGCAAAGGATGACTGTGTAGGATGACTGTAAGTGATGACTGTGTGCTGGATGATCATAGTGGATGACTGTATGAGCTGGATGACTGTGAAAGGGATGACTGAACTGATGACCAAATGGGATGACTTTAAGTGCTGGATGACTTTGTGTGCTGAGAATGTGCTGGATGACTGTGTGAACTGATGACTTTGTGTGCTGGATGACTGTGCTGATGATTGTGTGCTGGATGACTGTGTGCTGGATGAATGTGTGTGCTGGATGACTTTGTATGCTGATATGTGTGCTGATGACTGTGCGAACTGGATGATTGGATGACTGTGTGCTGATGATTGTGTGCTGGATGACTGTGTGCTGGATGAATGTGTAGCTGGATGACTTTGTGTGCTGGATGACTGTGTGCTGGATGACTGTGTATGCTGGATGACTGTGTGCTGAATGACTGTGTATGCTGGATGACTGTGTGTGCTTGATGAATGTGTGTGCTGGATGATCTGTGTGCTGGATGACTGTGTGCTGGATGATGTGTGGATGATGTGTGTGCTGGATGACTTGTGTGCTGGATGACTGTGTGTGCTTGATGAATGTGTGTGCTGGATGACTGTGTGTGCTGAATGACTGTGTGTATGCTGGATGACTGTGTGTGTGTGATGAATGTGTGTGCTGGATGACTGTGTGTGCTGGATGACTGTGTGTGCATGAATGTGTGTGCTGGATGACTGTGTGTGCTGAATGACTGTGTGTGTGCTGGATGACTGTGTGTGCTGGATGAATGTGCTGGATGACTGCGTGTGCTGGATGACTGCTGCTGGATATTGTGTGCTGGATGCTGTGTGTGCTTGATGAATGTGTGCTGGATGACTGTGTGCTGGATGACTGTGTGTGCTGAATGACTGTGTATGCTGGATGACTTTATGCTGGATGACTGTGTGTGTGATGAATGTGTGTGCTGGATGACTGTGTGTGTGCTGGATGACTTTGTATGCTGTGATGACTGTGTGGATGGTGGATGACTGTGTAAATGGTTAAATGAATGTGTGCTGGATGACTGTGTGGGTGGTGAATGAATGTGTGGATGGTGGATGACTGTGGTGGATTACTGCATGGATGGTTAAATGAATGTGTGGTGGATGACGTGTGTGGGTGGTTAAATGAATGTATGGTGGATGACGTGTGTGGGTGGTTAAATGAATGTGTGGTGGATGACTGTGTGGATGGTGGGTGACTGTGTGCATAGTTAAATGAATGTGTGGTGATTTGATTTAGTTTTTGCCGCTTTTGGCAGCTACTTTAATGTGCACCCATCATCCAGAGCAGAAAAACAGCATAAAAAGGATTACAGAGTAGGGTTTACAAAGGGTCATAATAATTAACCCCGGTTGTCAGGATATTATGGCACTGAAAGTTACACAGTATTTCATTTTCATTATTTGTTTAGTTCTATACATAAAGGGTAACTTATTCACAAATGCGTGAGAACAGGCGTGTGAGGCAGTATGTCTGGCCTCACACTTTGTTATTCACATTTACGTGGGAGGTATTCAAGCACATTGCGTATTTAGTTCTGTACATGAGAACTGATATAGTTACTGAGTGCAAAAAAGTGGATACAATCTTAATATGTCGGCTATCTTGCCATTAGAGATGAAGTGTTGTGCCATTTCACACACAGTGTGCTTGGACCTGTCCCTAAAAGGTTCTATCTTCACACAGTCGAGGACGTAGTGTTCAAGTGTGTGGCCATATGTATGGCCACACACTTCTGATAGTTTTGTTTACATCTGGCAGGAACATACTGCCAAAGGTATATATCCTAACCTTAATCTGGCAGTTACAACATCTTGTAATCTAGTGATCTGTTGCCTCCATATACCTGTTTCACTTGATACATCTCATCATGGTAACCTATGGATCGACTAGTGCCTGTTTGCACTTGTCTACTTGCGTCAAACTCATCAATAAGTTCTTTCCTAATTAAAGTTTTAAGGGTTCTTTTTGACAGACCCAAATTGTATTCAACGGTGTCTTTGTTAGACGCGAGTTTGGCGAGGGCATCAACTCTGTCATGTTTTATGAGGCCTATGTGAGAAGGGATCCACAACAGTTTGACCCTGACACCCCGGTCAACAAGGCACGCATATTTGTGTCTGGCTTCAGAGACAAGTGGATGACGTGTGTGGGTGGTTAAATGTGGTGGATGACTGTGTGCATGATTAAATGAATGTGTGGTGGATGACTGTATGGATGGTCAAATGAATGTGTGGTGGATGACTGTATGGATGGTTAAATGAATGTATTGTGGATGACTGTGTGGATAATGGATGACTGTACAGATAATTGATAACTGTATAGATGATGGATGACTATAGACGGTGGATGACTGGATAAACTGGATGTCATATCAATATCAACACACACACACACACACACAGTACTTGACTTAATCGTCTGTACAAGAGGTCACACAAGGTACACATAAGGTCATACAAGGTACACTTAGGTCACACAAGGTCATACAAGGTTATATAAGGTCACATAAGGTTACACTAAGGTCACATTAAGGTCACACATAAGGTCAACCTCTACTTCCCTAACATTTTTAAGAGCCAATCATTTCAAGGTCTTAAAAATATATGATTAGATTTCAAACTTTAATCTGGCAACTCATTGTCCAATCATGATCCAGGAAGATTTTGTTTACAGGGGGTCAAAGGTCATGTTGGTCACACAAACAAGGTCATACATACATACATTACACAAATACATACATACAAACGCACACATACATAAATACATACAGTACAGGGTACATATAAACGCACATACACATACAAACGCACATACACACATACAAACGCACATATACAAACGCACACATACATACATACAGTTACTTACTCCAACTGCTGTGTCCAAGGCAACACGCGAATAACATCTCCCTCCACCAATCACCTCCCACCATCACCAAGAGACGACCAATCACACGCCACCACTTAAACTAGCCAATAATTCGAGCCAACAAGTGGTCTTAATTCACAGCCAATCAGCTCACGCGTAGTTGCTATTTGCTTTAACCCAATCAGCTCGTAGAATGGGGAAGCGGGCGATCCATGGTGAAGTCGTTGGCCAATAAGAACACAAGTAGACGAAGTAACTGGCCAATAAGATCACAAATAGATGACCAATAACATGACAAGAGTGACGTAGCAGTAGTAGGTGTAGGTGTAGCGAGTGATGTCAGCGGTTATAATGTCAGTCTCTCACAACACACTGAGTAGCCTCGTAAGATCCAGTACATCGCAACTCTATTATCCATCACTATAGTCACTTAATCACTTATTATAACAACAAAAAACACTAATAATAATAATATAACTATTTTTTTTTTTACGATAGAGATTTAATTTTAGTGACATTGAAAACGACTCCGACAAATGAAGAGCGTAAAGCGAAACGGACATATCCAACTTAATAATAATAATAATAATTAATTAACGGTTTATTGAAAGAGCTTGGCAACCAGAGGCTCAAAATACACAGTTACATATTTGGGGAATGGGTTACGAATTACAAATAATATACAAGTAACATAAGTGATACAAATAAGACATATAATAACTAGATGGGGAAAAGCTCAAACTACAGTTCATTTCAACATAGTGACAGTGCAAGAAGTAGTATTTACTGGGAGTGAATACACTGGTTTATTACAAGTTATTGATAATTTTTACAATGGTTGGGACTGGGCTGTTCTTATAGCGATCAAAGTTAGTGCACGTGTATGGGCTGGATGCGGTTGTGGTGTCGAACAGCAATTTCGGCCAGGGATCTCAGGTAGTAGGAGCCGGATGTCGAGGATGGTGTAGAAGCTTCTACCAAATTTGCAGATGAGGTCGTGGTGATGGTCAGTGAGAGTCGAAAGGGTCAGTGTGTTGAGCGCTTTCTGATATGTGGAGTAGGAAAGGGAGAGAATAATTCCTTGGTATGCCATCTTTGCACTTTTTTTCTAGGTAAGCCATGCTGTGGCATTTAGGGAGTGAAGACCAGGTGGGGAGACATAGGTGAGCTTGGGAAGTATGAATGTTGTGTAAACACTGAGGAGCTCGGGGTGCAGGAACTCCGAGGGACTTGAGTCGGCGGAGGAGGCGGAGATGGAAACTGGAGGATTTGACAACTTCACTAACATGTGGTTTCCAATTTAGTTTGTTGTCTATGGTGACGCTGAGGAGCTTCGTGGAATCTACAACCTGGAGTGTGTTCGGACCTAAAGTAATGGAAGGAGGTGGGACAATGTCGGAGGAGAGGTTGATGTGCATAACCATGGTCTTGGTATGGTTGATGGTGACATGGTTGGTGGCCCAGTTTTGGAGACTGTTCAATAAATCCTGAAGGGCGGTATAGTCGGGAGCAGAATTGTTGACGCTGATCCCAATGGTGGAGTCGTCGACTTAGCGTGTACGAGTGTGTGTGTGTGTGTGTGTGTGTGTGTGTGTGTGTGTGTAGAACGACTAACACAAGTACTAGATTATCAAGGTGAAGCTCTCCTCTATTATTATTATTTTTTTTTTTCTTATAATCGCTTCATTACTGCTTGTACCAGTCAAGTAGATCATTTAGCTGGTTGTTGTTGTTGTTGTTGTAGTTATAGTAGTTTCAGATGTTTAAGTAGTAGTAATAGTAGAATAAGTCGTAGTAGTAGTTGTTGTTGTTGTAGTAATGATTTTATATAACGTACATCAGTACAGTACACCATACATCACATAAAAACATAAAAACATAAGAAAATAAGGAGTCTGCAATAGGCCGGTTGGCCTGTGCATGGCAGCTCCTGTCGAGAGTTACTGCCACTCTCTATCATCCATGAATCTATCCAGCCTCCTTTTGAAACTTTCCAGCGTTCCAACACTTACTACAAAGTTGCTAAGCTTGTTCCACTCGTCCACCACCCTATTTGTGAACCAGTTCCTTCCTATCTCCCTCCTAAACCTAAACCTATCCAACTTAAATCCGTTGCTCCGAGTCCTATCCTGCTCGGATATTATAAGAACTTTATCTATATCCCCTTTATTGATTCCTTTCACCCACTTAAATACTTCTATCATATCTCCCTGCACAACACATCACCACACGTCACAACACATCACAACACATGCCACATCACCAAACAACACAACACATCACCACACATGCCACATCACCACACAACACAACACATCACCACACAACACAACACATCACACAACACAACACATGCCACTTCACAACACACATCACATCACCACACATCACATCATCACACACAACACAACACATGCCACATCACAACACATCACATCACCACACAACACATCACCACACAACACATCACCACACAACACACATCACATCACACAACACAACACATCACCACACATCACATCACCACACAACATATCACAACACACCACACAACACAACACATGCCACATCACATCACCACACAACACATCACATCATCACACAACACATCATCACACAACACAACACATGCCACATCACATCACCACACAACACATCACATCACCACACAACACAAACACATCACATCATCACACAACACAACACATGCCACATCACATCACACAACACATCGCTGTAACACAACACAACAAATCACAACACATCACATCACCACACAACACCCACACATCACCACACACAACACCACACACACATCACAACACACCACATCACCACACACAGACACACACATCCCACATCACACCACACAACACCACAGCCAACACATCACAACACATCACCACACACACATCACAAACACATCACATCACACAACACATCCTACATCACATCACCTACACAAACACATCGCATCACATCACCACACAACACATCCCACATCACAACACATCACATCACCACACAACACATCACAACACATCACATCACATCACCACACAACACATCCCACATCACAACACATCACAACACCACACATTGCATCACATCACAACACAATAATTTACAACTCACAAAAATACTCAAGTAAAAAATATATATTAATTGAAATATATTAAAGATGAGATTTAATAAGACGATAATGTTCATTATTTAAGTAATGAGGCAAGTGTGTGTGTGTGTGTGTGTGTGTGTGTGTGTGTGTAGTGTGTGTCTGTGTGTGTAGTGTGTGTGTGTGTGTGTGTAATAATTAATAATAATAATAATAATTAACGGTTTATTGAAAGAGCTTTATATAGCCAAAAAGGCTGCGTGTGTGTGTGTGTGTGTGTGTGTGTGTGTCTGTGTGTGCGTGTGTGTGTGTGTGTGTGTGTGTCTGTGTGTGTGTGTGTCTGTGTGTGTGTGTGTGTGTCTGTGTGTTTCTGTGTCTGTGTGTGTGTGTGTGTCTGTGTCTGTGTGTCTGTGTCTGTGTGTGTCTGTGTGTGTGTGTGTAGTGTGTGTCTGTGTGTGTAGTGTGTGTCTGTGTGTGTGTGTGTGTGTCTGCGTGTGTGTGTGTCTGTGTGTCTATTTACTGACTACATAATCTTCCTCCTCCCTCACCCTTCTCTCCCTCTTTCTCCCTCACTCTCGTTTTCCTCCCTCCTCCATCACCCCCCCCTCCCCCACCCACCTCTTCCTCAACATTTATTTACACATAAGCATTAGAATCACATGAAGAATAGACACCCCAGCCTATTTCACCTGATGATTAAGCACCCTAACGCTACCTGGGGGGTTAGGTTAGCTTTAGGTTAGGTTAGCTTTAGGTTAGGTTAGGTTAGGTTAAGTTAGGTTCGTTAATCTTAAGGTAACATAAGCTGGAAGGTAAATCCACAGGTGATCCAATCAGTATAATCCAGCATAATTTCTCACTGCTTTATTACATGAAGTATTTCACCCACCACAAGACACGCTCACATCTTCACTACACTTCACTTCACTTCACTTCACTACACTACACTACACTTCACTACACTACACTACACTTCACTTCACTACACTACACTTCACTTCACTTCACTACACTACACTTCACTTCACTTCACTACACTACACTTCACTTCACTTCACTACACTACACTTCACTTCACTTCACTACACTACACTTCACTTCACTTCACTACACTACACTTCACCACACTACACCACACCACACCACACCACACCACACCCCACTCCCCACTCACACTTCACCACACTACACTACACATCACACTTCACTTTACTTCACTACACCACACTCACTTCACTCCCCACTACACCACACCAGCCACACCACACCACACTCACCACACCACACTGCCACTACACCACCACACCACACTCACACCACACCCCCACTACACTACACCACATCACACTCTTCAATTTTACTTCACCACACTACACTTCACTTCACACTACACCCCCACTTCACCTCACTACACCACCACACTACACCTCACTCCACTACACTTCACCACCACACCACACATCACACTTCACTCTTTACTTCACCACACCACATCTCACTACACTACACTACACTTCACTACACTACACTACACTACACTTCACTACACTACACTACACTACACTTCACTACACTACACTACACTACACTTCACTACACTACACTACACTTCACTACACTTCACTACACTACACTACACACTGCCTTAGTAATTAATATCTGTATCGCTTCCATCACCCGACAATATAAGACACAGTGTATTTATATATATCAGGGTCACATAAATATGGCGCTGAAGACTTTTGGGTGCCGAGTTATATTTCCTGTGGAGTATATATAAACCTGAGGCACTGGTGATGATAATACTGAACTAATGGTGGTGATGGTGGTGATGGTGGTGACATATACACACACACACACGCGCGCCCCACCCTGCAACACACCGGGATAAACAAACAACTGACAGTGGCATGGTTGGTGTCTGTCTCTCACACATTATCTGGTTTCTTGGTCCTTCTGACTACCTGATAACCATGGGAGCTACGTATCACCAACACCACCAAAGATAACGTTTATAACCCACATACAATACCTCACCAACTATGAGTTAATATAATGTAAAGTTAATAGAGATGAAAAGAGGGTGTGTGTGTGGATGTGTGTGTGATGGACCACCTGTTGGTTAGCCCCTCCAAATTAATTTCATCTGAGGATTAAAACACCTTAACGCTACCTGCTGGGGTCAGGTTAGGTTAGGTTAGAACACTATGTCGATAATGCTCACACTATACATGTTTTGTTTTTTGTTTTTTATTGAGTATATGGCCCAGTACTTGTGGACAACTGTACGAGTTATCTTAGCACCTGTGGATAACTGGACATGTTATCTGGACCTTTTCCGGTCACTCGTTAAACACACACACACACACACACACACACACACACACACACACACACACACACACACACAGTATATATTTTAATAACATGAAGATTAGACACCTTATTACAAATCAAATTTAACCTAACCTAACCTAACCTAACCTAACCTAACCTAATCTTAACCTAACCTAACTCG